AAAAAAAAAAAAAAAAAAAAAAAAAAAAAGGAAAGTGGAATAAGAAGGGAAGAAGGTTGTCATTATTGGTGGAAGGAAGGATTTCTGCACAGGCCGAGTGGATGAGCGGATGCGATCGACTGGCTGAGGGAGCGACCACGTCAGTCACGACACGGGGACACCGTTGACGCTGTGAACCGTCAGCAAGTCTTTTACTCTGGTTTTCTGGTCCGAAAATAAATTACTTACCTCTCCGATAATTATTACTATTTTAATCAAATCTTAATCAATTAAAAGGAAAGAGAGAGAGACTTGAGAGAAAGATGTGTTGGACCAACTCCCCTCCTATCATTCCCTCTCCCCTCCTCCTCGGTGTGTGATTTAATTCGGAGATAAAATGTTGTCAACGAATAGTTAGTATACTACTCTCTGCTAGGTCGTAAACTACCCAAATATACTACTACTTTAGTTCTTTTTTTCCCCTCTTTAGCACCGTACTTCTTGTACCATCCCGAAGAAAAGAAAAATCAAATGAAATCAAAACTACATCCCCTCCCCCAGCCGGATAGAAGACCTGGTCAATACGTAGTACTAGTACTACTGTTGAAGTACTAAGGTCTGACCGCAGATTCGCAAGGACAGACCCCAACTAAGTTATTTTACCCAATTTCCCTCCCTTGCTGAGTGCGGATGGATCCATCTTTTTAGTGTCATCTAGGGCCTGGGCCGTTTCCCCTCTAACTCGACGGGATCCGGGTTTCAGCTGCAGCGACCCGTGGTGCATATGCGAGTGTAGACCAGGATCGCCTGTCTTGGGGTATTTTTGGAACGGGCTTACATAGTAGGTACATGTACTTTACTGTTTGGTGGGAGGGGAGAAGGAGAACGAATCGGACTAACTTCTACTTTTTGTCTTTTCCTTTACTATTTGGCTTTGGGTATTGGGGGTCCATTATCATTTCTTTCCCATTTTTCCTTTTTCTTTTAGTTTCTTTTTTTTTTTATTATTTCTTCTTTTAAATTTCCAGATCACTTTTTTTCTTTTTATTTTCTTTTCTATTTTTTTTTCCCCTATAAATATCAAATAGATACAATCATATCTGAAATGAAGAGGCATTTGCCACAATACCGCAGGTAAAATTACATAGATGAAATCGGCGCATGGACCCGCGATCTCCAATGCAGAACCGAGCAGAAACCACGACTAGTGAAAGTAGTGCGCGGGGGTCACCAGTCGGTCTGTTCTCAATCGCTTTTTCAATTGTGTTCAGCTTGGACATGTCTCGGGGTCATGTAAGTCTCTTCGTGTACCAAGATCATATACATCTGGGAAATCGATCATGCAGTCCATATACCAAAAGAAGAGAAAATGAAAAAAAAAATAGACTTTTAACATATATGTATGCATGTATAAATATAACTATAAGTAGCATGCCTTCACTAAGGCAGCGCCTCAAACTTGTCAGACGCCACGAGGAAAATCAAAAAGGAAGAGAGAGAAAGAGAGAGAGAGGAAATAAATGACGTAGCAATCGAGCACCCACGTATTAAGCTTTCCCTCAAATGATCCAGACCAAGAAACCAAAATTTACTATCATTTATGTTTTCAATAAATCAATTAGGAATAAAACAAAAAAAAAAAAGCAATAGACACCAGCATACCGAACGATGATGACGAGGTGTTTTATGATACGGACTCCTGCCCATTCCGAACTAGATCGATTTGTCAATCCTTTCCTCGTTGGGATCTGTCAGCACGCCTTTCTTGGTTGACCGCTCTCACTCACCGTCATTTGTGTCGCGTCGATGGGGATGTCGTTCGTGATTTGGTGGAGCTCTGGAATGTTGTGTGCGACGCGACTGTGTCATGTGCGTTGGTCGATGATGTTACTGTATGTAGAGATATGGGTACACATGAGACATGAGGAGCAAGATAGGTGCCTTGAGGGGGAGGGAGCAGCCTGACAATTGGGGGCCGTAGGATTTCGCCTTGTTCGTCGAGATGAATTGATACATACGTGGGTTGTTGTCGAGATAGATTCTGCGTCGCTGTTGTACTTGATCCATGGTCAATGAATTGAACAAATCTATATACATGTAGTATGTACGTACAGTACATATATATATATATATATATATGTATACAGGTACATGTGTATATCTGTATGTCAATGTGTATCGTAGGCTGGATGTCAACTTCCATCGACATTCAACTGCTGCTGCTGTCTGTCAATACAGGCTTAATCATTGCATACTCGTGATCCAGGAATCTACACTGCATGGCTCATGTATAGTTTAATCTGGTCCTGTGCAGCGTCATAGGCTAGGGCAGGGATTTTCATCTCGGAGAACTGCATTGCATGCTATCTACCCTATGCTACATCTATATACGAAGTAAAAGCAATGACCCGGAATCCCTGCATCCAGCAAGTGTCTAACTCCAGCGGATCTCTCTAGACATCTAAACCTCTAAATAGCCATGAATCATAAGCCCTCAAAAAGGGATTCAACGTATGGGTAAGCCGTCAGCTGGCTACCCAAGGCGCGGTATAGTAGGACGGACGCTCCGGTGCATCACGCCGTGCTCTCCTCTGAGATTCTAGCTTCGAGAAGTTCTTTCTGCACCTTTCGTGCATACTTGACTCCAAATCCATGGTTATAAATCTCACGGACAGACTCGAGGGGCATGTTATGAACCTCTGCATAGCAGAAAATTGCAAAGATAAATCCAAGAAAACATATTCCAGCGTAGAAACCAAAGGCTCCACTAGGGGTCATTCCCTTCATCATCGACAGGAAGGTTGACGATATAATGATGTTGCAGCCCCAGCAGGTTACACTGTTCATCATGGTCCCCAATGCACGAACTTCGAGAGGTAAAAATTCCGTCCCTACCCAAGAGATCGGGGCCACCCCTGCTGCGTAGAAGGCAATATACACGATGAGAGATACGAGAAGCAAGATATTAGGCCAGCCCATCTCACGCGTCTCAACGGCCGTGAGGTCATGGTTCACTGGAATCCAGTGGAAGGCTACGGAGGCAACCACCAATGACAGGCACTACTCACGATTAGCATGATCTCTTTTTCAATGTAGAGGTTCTATTTCTGAAAAGATGCTTGCCATTCCAAGGATAGTGACCAGGAGCATCCGCCGTCGGCCGAGGCGGTCAATGAAGATGAAGTTTGGGAATCCAAATATAAAGTTAGTGGCTCCAACCACGATTGACACGACCGTGGGCTTGTCAAACCCAACCATCGAAAAAAGCGTGGAGCTATAGTACATAAGCGTATTGAAGCCTCCTAGCTGGGATACTGCCCGGCTATTAGCTGGTGACCTAAAGGATGAGAACCGTGGCTTCACCTACCCGCCATGACGGCGCAAGCAGTTATGAGAGCTCGCACATTCTGACCAACAGTAAAGAGCTGTCTCATCTGCCATACAAGGCTCTTATTAGAAATCGATGCGGTGGCTTCTTCAATTGAATGTCGGATCACTCTCGCCTTCGCATCGACCTGTTGGTCAGTGGCTCGTGGGAATATCTTCGCAATCACACACTTAGCCTCTTCCAGTCGACCATGTAGGACCAACTGACGAGGCGTCTCAGGGCAAAATGGCATCATCACAACAAGCAACAAAGCAGGTACAGTGCCGAGGCCCACCATGTATCTCCACCCAGAAGCCACATTCGTAAACGCGGCGCCGAGTGCGTATGAGACAAGCTGACCGAAAGTGACACATATATTGTCAAAGACTATGAGGCGGCCACGAAACCGTGCCGGGGCCATTTCTCCAATGTACAATGGGACAATCATCGCAGCCTCGCCGACGCCGAAGCCCACAACGAGGCGGCCAACAGTCATCTGGGGGAGTGAGTATGCGGCTGCTTGAATTATGCTTCCTATGACGAAGATAATAAGCCTACGTAAATGGCAAGTTTGCGGCCGTACTTGTCGGCCGTCATGCCCGCCGCTACTGAGCCTATCAGAGCGCCTCCAGAGGTGATGGATGTAACCAATTCTTGTTCATTGGAGCTGAGTGGCTTCCCCAAGTCCGACCCCAGATTGACGAGAACGGCAGATATGACCCCCGTGTCATAGCCTGGCGAGTCATTCAATTAGTGGAATTTCACATAAACAGGCTACATCATTAGACCACAGGACACTTACCGAATAGAAAGCCACCCATAGACACCGCACAGACAATCAGCCATACTGCCTTTCCGGGGTTCGTTTCCTCAATGGAGTCATCCAAGCCTATTGAGGTCAGGTCCTCATTGTGGAAGATCTCCGCTTTATTATCGGAATTTTTCAGTGAATCAGAATCCATTATCGATTGCATCACCGTGTAATAAGATCAATTGAGGTATGAAACATATCAAGACAAAGGATAACGTGACATCAGAGAAAATTGAAAGCTAGGCAAAGTGACACGGAATGAAGAATTGTGCAATCAACCCGCCTACCACTTACCAGTCTACCCACTAAGTACTGCAAACAACAACATTCATATAGTAGATATTTCCCCTCACGCCAATGCATTGAATTCACCCACCACGGGTATTGCCCCCAGGTTCCGTCGCGTTCCATGGGGCAGAGAAATGCCGATGTGGGCTCCCCCAGACCCGAAGTTGCCCCAAGGGCTACTCCAGGCTCTGCGGCCCTTGATAGCGTATATCCGGCCCATCATTTGTCCAGTACCCTTAAAGGTTATTGCGTCAAATGCCGTGCAGCATGGGATTCTACTTAGTGATACTGCCAAATCCAATGACACGAACTGAGCAGTAGCCGCCCCTTGGCCCTTTGGGCGAGAGTCCACAGGAGGAATATGCGGAGTAGTAGTGACGTTCGGTTGAAGTCCAGATGGAGCCCCACGATTTCGTATACCCTATCGCGATTGGCACATGACTGGGAGGGTGGAAAAGAAAATAAAAATAAAAAAGGGAAATATTTCCCGCACGTGCAACCCCCCTTCAACTTGATCACGATGGGAAGTTTACCCCGAGTGTAGGACATCGTTCCCCATGGAAAGTAACATTTTACGATCGCCAGAAGCGCTTCACGGCTCCGTTGCCTCTGGTTCCTTGGTTTCTGTTGGATATAAGTATCTGGCTTCGTGTATCACAATGGGTGGACAAGCAGGAAAATATTCTTCTCAACTTTTCTCTTCATTTGAATCGCAGATTGTCTACTTGTCTTGAGGGATAGACCATCAAGCACAATATGTGGTCCGCTCTATCGATCGCTCCGTATGCGCTTTCGCTGGGGTTCTTTTCCCTTCTGTATTTTGTTGTCTTTCCATGGGTAGAGTACATCCGGGACCCCAAGGGTATGTGTTTGACAAGACTTTTTCCCCATACCAACTTGAGACATCCTATTGACATCATTAGGGCTTCGAAAATACTCCAACCTGAATCCCTTCTCTGGGATGTCTGCGGTACCTTTCATGATTTTAGCATCGAGAGGGTTCCGCTCCAAAGAGCTTCAGGAACTACACAGAACCAAGCCCGTCATTCGAACCGGACCCAATATGCTATCGTACGGTGATGTACGTGCCATCAAGGATATCTATGGACACAACACCAAGTGCATCAAGGATCCCTCCTATATTGTGACGGCTGGCACGCACTATCATCTTGCTGATGTGGTCGATAAGCCTGATCACGCCCGGAAGCGTAAGGTCCTCTCGTCCGCATATGCGCTCAAGAACTTGGAGACATGGGAGCACAAAGTCAGTGATAAGGTCGAGAAAGTTGTTGCACATTTCGACAAAGTATGCACGGCACCACCCTCGGCTGCCGTGGCAGCGGGCAAAATGGCACCGGATCCGAAGGATCTTACAGTTGACTTCCGAGCTTGGACCAATTTCTTCACTCTTGATGCAATCGCTGATATTGGACTCTCGGAAAAGCTTGGCTTCTTGGACTCGGGAAGCGATGTTTGTATTGCTGAGAGAAAGGACGGTTCCACATATGAGGTCAACCTCCGTGAGGCCCTCTACCCCACTGCTCGCAAGCAGTCGCTCATTCTGTGGAACTATGAATGGTATCCGGCCCTTAACAAGATGGTTAACGTAATACCATTCTTCAATCGGATGCAGAATTCTTCAGACAACTGGGAGAACATCGTGTGGCGCCGGTCAATGAACCGCCTGCGTCGGTATGAAGCAGGTGAAAAGCTCGAAGACTTCTTCCAGGCGATGATGGAAGACAAGAACGGCCGAGCCAACAACTTGGAATGGGGTGAGATTGTGGCTGAGATGAACATCATGATGAACGCTGGCAGTGTTACAACCGCTATCGCCATCGCGAACGTCATGTATCAGCTTCTTCGGAACCCACAGAGCTTGAAAAAGCTTCAAGAGGAGATTGATGCCGTGCTGGACGTGGATGAGATCGTCGCCCCCTACGACAAAGTGAAGCACCTCCCGTATCTCCGCGCATGCTTGGATGAATCGCTTCGCATCTTTCCACCAACCTCGCACGGGCTTCCTCGTGAAACTCCACCAGAGGGTATGGAAATCCTGGGTGAATGGGTTCCCGGCAACACGTCGGTTAGCATGTCCGCATATGTGGCACACCGTGATGAGAGCGTCTTCCCCAAGGCCGACCAATACATCCCTGAACGGTGGCTAGGGGAAGAAGGCAAGGCTCTTCAGCCATACTTGATCGCATTCTCGGCGGGTGCGAGATCCTGCATTGGTCGGAACATCTCTTATTTGGAGCAGACTAAGATCTTGGCTACACTGGTACATCGGTATGGTTTTGCACTGCCGTATCCCGGATGGGAGCTGAAGCGGCTGGAGACCATGAATCTGATCTTGGGAGATATGCCGGTTAAGGTGTGGAGACGCAATTTGCAGGAGGCATGAGCAGGCTAAAATATTCACGATTTTCCGGTTTTGTTTTTTTTATCCATTTGGACTTTCTTATCCTGGCATAGACATTACAGCGTATAAATATATAATATCCTCTTGTTGCATTGATGGGCATGGGAGCTAGATATAGCTTTCAATTATATATCAGTCACCTTGGGCAGGTGTGAAAAACTAGTCGGCCTTAGCTATTAGCAAATTTTAGGATGGACTTTCAATCTATGCTTCAGACAAGTCTGGTTTATTGTTATACACAGTACAAGCTGCAAATAAATTCTCGGCTCTGGGTGCAACGTATTCCCCGGGGATTATAACGAGCAAGATACTCTGCGCTGAAAGTTAGGTTTTCTGTAGGTTATTGATCACCATCTGTATATCCACTCAATATCGGGACCCATGAAATTGTGATGTAAGTCGTTGCAGATGCTATAGAACAAGCAATGGGCTAGTCTATTTTACGACATGATTTATCGACTACCCCGCGCGTTGGCCAGCGAATATGGTGGCCACTTTCTGCCCCGTGCGTTCTCGAGTGATTGAACCATAAAAATGTAAGGACATAATTTGATATAACCGTAAAGGTGAACCCCTCTAGAAGAAGCAATATTCCCCGCGAGGGAATATTTCCCCGTTCTTTCCTTTCCCCCAGCTGCTTTGAATCTTAATTCGAATATTCCCCGTTTCTCCACGTTCCCCAATAGGATCCACACCAGCGGTTTCCCCAGATGTTGAAACTCTGTTTTAAACGTTGGACCGTGGGTGATTACCTGGCCCTAAGATTTGCTGGATCGAGAAATGTCGCCCGTCCGACCGGGTTCCATCTGACTTTTGAGATGTGGAGTCTAAAAAAGACGATCAAAGACCGACATGTCTCGATTAGGGATTCTGCTTCCGAGTCTTGTCGCTTTTCCCTATTTCGGTAGTTTTTGTGCCTCTCTACTCCCAGTCTATCAGGACCCCTTCTTCACAAATGTATATAAGCCCCAGGCTTCCATCACTCACTTTATTTTCCCTCCGGTTGACTCGCACGACTCTCAAAGCCACTGAACTTCATATTCTTCCATCAATTGCACTACTACTGTCACACCATACAGACACACCATGACGCCCCCGTGGCCTCTGCCCCTCAACATCCCCCCGGAGGCTCTACAAGAGCTTTCCAAAACTCTCACTCCCACCGGAATTGCTGACTACTCGGCTCTGACCATCTTCTCCGTGGCAGCCGCCACCTATCTCTCTCGAGGCTACCTCTGGGACCAGCCTGACCCATACCAACATCTCGTTTACGAACGACCACAGCTCAAGAATGGAGGTGCCGCCGGTTCCGCCACAAAAGAAACCCGAAACATCGCCAAGAAATTGGAAGAGTCGAACAAAGACATGGTCGTCTTCTGGGGCTCCCAGTCCGGCACCGCCGAGGGTTTTGCTAACCGTCTGGCGAGAGAGATCTCGTTGCGATTCGGCCTGAGCGCCATGACGGCAGACCTGTCCGATTATGACCCCGAAACGATTGCTGAGGTTCCACAGTCAAAGCTGGTCGGGTTCTTCCTATCCACCTATGGCGAGGGAGATCCCAGTGATAACACGGCGGAGTTATGGGATTGGGTTAACAAGACCAAGGATCAGGGGCAACTGTTGTCGTCCGTAAGGTACTTTGCCTTCGGTCTGGGAAATCGGAACTATAAGTACTATAACCGCGTCGTCGACGTCGTGGTGGAGGCGCTTGATAAACTAGGCGCAAAAGCAGTGATGCCGGTCGGAAAGGCTGATGATGCCGAAGGTGCTACCCAGGAGGACTTCATGACCTGGAAGGAGAGCCTGTTTGCTGTACTGAAGGGCCTGGGCTTCCAGGAACATGAGGTCCAGTACATCCCCACCTTATCGGTACAAGAGGACGAATCGTTGGAGCCAATTGACCTGCATAATGGAGAGCCAGACGGAGGTTCCCTCAAGGCTCAGTGCTCGCCCGTCCGGCCCTTGGCCATCTCCGCTTCTCGGGAGCTGTTCAACTCCTCTAACCGACACTGCCTCCACATCGATCTGGATCTCACCAGCCAACCGGAGTTCACATACAAGACCGGTGATCATCTTGCCATCTGGCCCGGAAACCCTGACTCCGAGGTGGAGCGTCTCCTTCAAGTCCTGGGCCTCTCATCGCGGCGCGACGTGCCTATTAGCATCAAGTCGCTTGACTCCACCACGAAAATTAGGGTTCCATCCCCAACCACCGTAGCAACTCTCTTCCGTTACTATCTCGAAGTCTGCGGTCCCGTGAATCGGGACAATGTTCTGGGGCTGGCACAGTTCGCCCCGACTCCGGACGCAAAAGCATATCTCCAGCAACTCGGTCAAGATAAGGCCGGCTATGCTGCATTTATCAACAAGAACTATGTTAACCTCGGCCGACTGTTGCAACAAGCCAGCACTGACACATGGAACATTCCCCTATCATACCTCGTTGAAACACTCACTCTCATGCAACCACGATACTACTCTATCTCATCCAGCAGTGTAATCTCCCCGCGCAAGGCCTCCATCACAGTTGTCGTCTCGACAAGCCCCGTTCCCGAGAATGGAGACGAGCTGATCCACGGCGTTACGTCCAACTACCTGCTCGCTGTCTCGGAGAACCTCCGCTCAGCTCCTCACCCAGAAGGACTCACATATCATCTCAACGGACCCAGCGATTCCCTACAAGGCGGAAAGGTGCTCTCGCACCTCCGTAAGAGTAAATTCAAGCTCCCCACTCTAGCCAAGTGCCCGCTTATCATGGTTGCGGCCGGCACAGGTCTGGCGCCGTTCCGAGCATTCATCGCCGAGCGTCGACAGCTCCAGCAGATCGGAAAGGAGGTCGGCAAAATGCTCCTTATCTTCGGTTGTCGGAGACCTGATGAGGACTTCATCTATCGGGATGAGCTGGAAGAGATGACGAGTGTGCTGGGAGAGAAGTTGCGCATCGTCACCGCGTACTCGCGTGAGGGCAAGAAGCAATACGTCCAGGATAAGATCTCAGAAGTTGGCGACGATGTTTACCGATTGATCGACGAGGGAGCCAACTTCTATATCTGTGGAAAGGCGGAGATGGCAAGGGAGGTCGAGAAGGCTGTTGCGGGGGTAGTGAGTGTGAAGGGTCAGGATGAGGCGAATGAGTGGAGGACGAGAATGAAGAGAAGGAACAAGTGGCAGGAGGATGTGTGGTAAATTCTTTTTTTCATTAATTGGTTTCTCTCATATATATGTACATACTCCCATAGACTTATCTACGACTTATTTGTTCTGCCATGACGCAATGCTATTATTTTTCACGTCTAAAACTCAGAGCCATCCCAACCACTAAAACGCATACCAAACCCAAAGCGAAGCAAAGCTAGCCTAAAACAGCAAAACATCAACACCGAACCATGGTATAATCGACCCGGACATTTTTGATCCTCCAACAAAACCACACCCTCAAACATCCAGAGAAAAAAAACCTCGAAAAAAAAAAAAAAAAAAAAAAAAAGAAAGAAAAACAGAAAATGTCCAACACAAATCAACCCCCACAAAAGAAAACAACACCAACCCCGCAAAACCACCTCTCCTTTGATCCCTGGAATAGCAGCGCCACGGGCCACCAACGGGCCGATTCCTCGACAGGAACCGCCTGGCGTCGAACAAGAGAAGAGAAACTGGCTCGACAGTTCAATTCCGTATCGGGTGACTGTACGGATTCCCTCGGGGATGTTACATCCCTTCGCAAAGAAGAGAAAGGGGAGTGGGTATGGGCTCATACGAATCGGGGGGAGTTGAGGGATCCAGGGCAGCAGGATATCCGGTCCATGATGCGCGTGGGAAAGCGGCCTAGGGGTGTGTCAGACTCAGGAAAGGACGGGGAATCATCCCAGAGGAAGTTGAAGGCTTCAAAAGTCGCTGGTTTGGGGGTGAATGCGTCAATTAGTTCTTTGGATGAGTTGGTGTCGTCGCCGTCACCATTATCGATTGAGGTCAAGGATGTACCGCAGGTTTTTAAGGGCGTTACGGTTTATATTAACAGCACTTATCATCCAAGGGTCTCGGATCACTATTTGAAACGGCTCCTCACCATGCATGGTGCTGCAATTTCGCTGTCCCTTTCGAGAAAGGTCTCCCATGTTATTGTTGCGAGGCCTAATGCGGGGCCTGGGATGGGCGCTGGTGGGGGACTTGCGGTTTCAAAGTTACAGAAGGAGATCTTGCGGGGTGGGTGGAAGGGGATCAAGGTCGTTTTCATTGAATGGTATTTTATCTTTCCGGCGTTGGGACGTGGGATGTTGTTGATACTGATTATAATACTGTACATAGGGCCCTGGAGAGTATCGAGGCTGGGAAGCGGTTGTCTGAGGCTAAGTTTGCGATGGATATCATGCCAAAGGGGCAAAGGAGTGTTCTGTCTTTTACTGGCATCTGATATGGTTTACGGAGTTTCAAGGTCTATGTATTGTAATACCCTCATGAATGAAGTCGTTATGTTATATACATCGTTATCATTATCATACAAGCATGTCTACATAAAAGCGCCCTTTGACCCACCCCTTGTCTCACCATCGCCCTAAGGCCGTCGCCATCCTCCTTGTTCCCAACCTCTGCTTGGACCCGACGACAGCGACCCTGCGCTTGCGTCAGACATGCGGCGGTAGCTTGGCAAACCAAGCTCGACCTGAGTGTAAGGCTCTAGAGGCGGTTCGTCTGGCAATGGCGGTAGTGGATTCCGTATAAGCCGGGACGGCCGCTGTGGGCTGGCCTCAACTGGGTGAAAGCGATGTTCCTGATATGACGGCGCTGCGGCAAACGTATGCGTACCTGACGGCAATTCGTCCTCTGTACTGTCATTCGAATATATACGATCCAATTTCTCATCAATATCGTCGCCTGAGTCCCCTCGGACCAGCCCTAAGCGTTCCTCCTCCGTGGGTTTACGCTCATGGCCTTTCCGTAACATGCCCCGAGGCGACTTAGGCACGTCAGATTTGGGTCGGTGGAAAGCATGGAATGAAAATTGGCGTTTAGAGCCATGTGCTGGAGGTTCAGGGGGTTCTTCTGCCCATGTTATAGATTGAGGTGTGTCACTTCGAGGTGGTCCAGGATAACTTGTGTCGACTTTTCTGCTATGGATCGACGACATAGGTGCTAGAGCCGCCGGTTGGCTGGGGTCATGGTCTCGAATTGGCTGCCATGAATGACTCGGTGACCGCATTCGAATTTCATCTAAGAAAGAATGGCCACTTTGCCTGGTATTGGGGCGCTCTGATTCATCCGGAAACCGGGACATTCCCAATGGGGGGAGCGGCCTCCTGACTGACGGCGTGCGAGTTCCACTCCGGGTCATCGTTGGTCCTTCACCGAGGACAGTCTTGCGCCGGCGCAATCCATCCCACTCGATGATCTCATTCTCTGCAGGCGGGTGTAACTTATCATCTTGTCGTTCTCTTATATAGCGTCGTGCCTCCTCCGCCTCCATTGTACGGCGGGCTGTTGATATCCTACGAATAATAGCGGCAGCGCCACGGATAGAATCGGCCTTGGGCTCTGTCTCTGGCTCTTCCTGTGTGGCCACCTCACGGATCTGGTCGAGGTCGCCTTTGAAGACAGCGGAGTCGGGGACGTCTTTGGCGGACTTGGAGAGCTGCAGTAAGACAACACCGGCGCAGATCTGCAAAAAGCCCAGGATGACTGTAGCGATCTGCATGCCGGTCCCTTTGAAGCCTCGGAAGAGAATTGCCGAAGTTATAATCGTGGCGCTGGTGAAAAAGACGTAATAGGTAGGAGTGACCAGGGCGGCATTGAAGATGTTCAACGCTTTCTGGACAGCGTTAGTAAATAGTCAAAGAAAACAGAAGAAGCCAAGAAGGAAAAGGGAAATTGGATGGGGACAAACATTAAGATAAATGATTTCTGTCAATAAAGTCGCCACGACGAACACAAACAAGACGTAGAGAAACCAATGCTTGAACTGCGATTCCCCGTTGATCTGTGCCAAAATTGCCGCTCCCAGTCCCTGCGTAGCGACCACGCTTAATCCACCAATAGAACTGCAGATACTAATGTAGACGAACATGCTCTTCTTTCCGTATCGAGGCCCAGCCCATACAGCCGTGATGATGCTGCCCACGATGATAACCCCAGCGTACGACAAAAACCCGGGGGCAATAACATATTTCTGCATTTCCTGGATGTTGCTTACGGATGACTGCTCAGGCGCATTCATGGCAATGATAACAGAGCCGAGAATGCAGGTAAAACAGCCGACCTTACCGACGAAACTCAGCCGTTCCTTGAGGAAGATGGCAGATAGGATCGTCGTTACCACGACTGACAGCGCACCCAACGGAGTCACCAAAATCGCATCAACGAAGGCGTAAGCGACGAAGTTGCAAAGTTCCCCGATTATCATCAGCGTCATACCAGCCCACCAATAGAAGTTCTTCAGATATCCGTACCCCTCGCCGGCCTCCTCATTGTATTTGACGTTGGCCCTCAGTAGACCGGTCTTTTTGAGTACGAACGAAACGCCGATGAATAGACCCGACGCGACCGCTAAAGAAATACCGATGGCTTTGTAGGAAGCCGGTCGACCGCTTCCTGAATCGGAGCGAGCCTCGAGAGTTGAGAAATCCATGTGTAACCGGAAGCGCGCATGAACACTGCCAGCAGTGTGTCTATTATCTGCGTTGAGGTTGTATGTACACGATAATATATATGAATAGTCGATTAAAAATAATACCAGCGCGAAACGAGCGCTACTCCATGAAAGCGACTCGTGGTGGCGGCGCTAAGGGTTTCGATTGGGCGCTTCGAAGGTTAGATAGAGGGATGGAATGCGTGGTTGATAGGTGCCGGGGAATGTGTCAGAGTTTACTGCAAAGGACATGCATGAGGAAAATGGGCAAAAGAACAAAAGAAAATTCCGGGTGCGAGAAGAAGAAAGATTGTCAGAGCCCAGGGAACAAATAAGAAAACTCGTATGGAGGGAAGCAAGTAAGAAAGAGAGAGGCTGGGTAGTGGTGGTGCGGGTGGGAGAGCAGCGTGACCCACTATCATTCAATATACAAAAATTAAAATGACGAATCTCTTTCTATATATATTAAACTGGATAAACACAGAAAAACAGAAATTATTCTTCAGCACTACCTCCTCTGAAGGTTTCAATTTTTACTACATTGAAGTACGAGTTAGAACGCGTCAGTCATGATTCATGACAAGAGAAACCCAACCGGAGTCTAGAACTCCCAGAGAACCACTGGCTGAAGATTAAACCTCCGGAACCAATCCGAGATTAACTTAAAAGGGTATAATAACAATGCTCATCATCATCACACTTGAAACACAATCACAGTCATAAGGAAGTTCCTTGAAAAAAAATCATCAAGAGGAAAATGCAGAAAAAGAGAATTAATATAACCATGGATCTCCCTGCATCCAGAGAAAACAATCCCACTCATTCATTATACATGACGCCCATCAAGAACATGCGGATACTTCGTGACGTTCAAATTGAACAAACAAAGGAAACCGGGAAATCCCAGGGAAAATAAATAAATAAAATGAACTGAAAAAATAGGCCAGAAGAGAGACCTAGCGCACGTGATAACTTGGTTTTCGCTGCTTGTTGACCACAGGTGGAAGCTCATCCACTGGATAGGGCGGTCGAATCTTTCCATTTGATCCGTGCCCCAGAGGACCTGTCGTAGTTACCAATGGAGTGGGCATTGGAATGCCTCCCAACTCACTGGGGTATGGGATAGGAGTCTTTGGAGGTACTGGTGGCGGCATGCCATCGTGCACATGATCCGTGCTTCGTCGCGGGGACCCGTGTTGTTGTGAGCTGGGTCGGCTGATGTCGCTCAGATCACTGACTGAACCCCGCGCCGGTGTTGGCAAAACTGTATCCTGTGAGACAGGATGAACTGGGAGTACATCGTCGTTCATCGGGGGTGGGGGCGGCCCTGCTGGTGAGAGCAGGGTAAAATCGCCTGGCAGCTCAGCAGGCAATTCCACTGCATCTGGAATTGGAGGCGGCACGACAGAAAGTCTTGGACTTTGGGTTATGGAACTGTCATCTGGGAAATTGGTTATATCATTTCCAGCAGCCGTATGCGCCGCCGCCCGACGGTGCATGCGTTCGATTCTAGCAAACTTAACACCGGCATCAAGAATTTGCTTCTTCACTTCAGGCCTGGTGAGGTAGCGACGAGTGTTGGTGCTGATGTCCGCCAATCGATTCCATTCGTTCATACCAAACTCCCCCACACCCACTTCGACATTCAAGCGGTAGTAGTTATCTTTAACTACGTTACGCTTGGCCAGATGCTCCCGGAGCATATCCTTGTGGATATCTTCACAGCCCTCGATCTTAGCGATCAGCCGACGGCGCGCCTCTGCAAATGTACCCAGCGCATCGCCAAAGAAGTCCTCCCACCACTCATGCTGTCGATTGTTCGTACCAGGTGGACGTTTACCTGTACCAACGCTTATAAACACTCCAACTTCGCGACCGGGCCACTCGTTGACTGTCGCTTCATCCAGGACCTGCGGCGCAGGGTTATAGGTGCCGGCACCCTCGTCGATGAAGACATGTTGTCCAATCTGAATTGGTTTAAAAGCAAGCCCAGTGGCTGATGTTGCCCGGCCAGCTTGCCAGATTGTACAGTTAAACTCTGGAGGGGGTTCTTTCCGGGAGTCGTAAGAACGTAAGAGTACAGCGGATCCGTTGCGTGTAGTGCCCTTATACAATGCTGTGACCGCCCTATTGACATCGCATGTTAGCTCAAAGTATACACAACAACAACAACAACAACAACAACAACAACAACAACCAAAAAACAAAGGAAAAAGGAGGGGGGGGGGGGGGGGGGGGAAGAAGCGGGGGGAGAGAGAGGGAGCTTACGTTTTCGTGCGGTACTCCCGATTGTCGTACAGCAGCGCATCTGGATTACCCCAGCGTAGACCATTGATGAACGTTGAATTCCGCTGACTGGGGTTTGAAGAATGCGAACCAGCGGTGCTGAAACTGGCACGGCTACCAGAACGCTGGGGGATCGAGTTGGGGCTGAATGGTGTGTTGGCAAAAGATGTGCGAGCGCCGGGCGACAAATCATTTCCCTCGGCCTCGAAAACGGTGTGTTCGCGTACACACTCGCGAATAGCGTCTTCCAATCTCGAGGCTTTAAATAAGGTTGACCGGAAAGGAATCCCAGCGAAGGTCTTGTCCGTTTCGAAAACCCTACGGGTCATGCGTACGTAGACTTCTTTGCAGGTTTCAAGATCGAGTCGTAGACGGCCCAGCATAAGAGCTATCAAGCCGCCGGTGCCGGTGCCGACAATGAGATCAAAGTGATCGCAGGGTTTGGGAATTTCATCGCGACGAGGGGCTTTGCCTTCGCATTCGACGTACACGCGATACATAAGTTCCTGGAGGATGATGAGCATCGAGTAACCGCGGACGCCGCCACCATCTGACCTGTTAGCCCGGAAATCTATATCCAAACCTCTTTGTAACCGGGAGCATACCTAATGATAAGATCCGCAAGGGAGGACCCTTGGTGGTATCTTTGCGACGAAGAATCGTCGTATCCATTGTGCCAATCCCTTGGTGGGCTGGAAACACCCCGGTAGGGAGCGGGAATATATGGGCGCCTGATCGGCTCGATGTGGGCGGCAGATGACGAATCCGTTCGAGGGAAAGCACGAAGTCACCGGGATATATCTGCCGAGACAAATGACCAGAGGGATTCTTTTAAGGAAAGGAGAAAATCTGGCTGTAAAGTGAAGTTGGAGGGGGTGTATAGTATACTTGGTAGTGGGAGTGAAAGAAGACTGAAAAAAGATCTTTTCCACGAGTGTCTTACCGTGACTGCAGAACCAACGAACTAGTGACCAGTAAGATTAGGTTTGAACTGTTCTTGGGTACAAGTATTTTCCACTCTGCATTCCACCAAAGATCATTGCCGTTCAGTACTTTAGTCAGACTCAACAATGACAATTGGTGGGGGTGTCACGGGGATTGTGGCGGTGCTCAGCTGCGTCATTAAGGCTGTGTCCAGATAAAGCTGTGAGACGATATAATAGTAACTTAATGACCTCAAGAAATAAGGCATCCCGGCTTACACATCACCTACTCAGCTCCATGTTCCATGTTCCAGAAAGACGCTAGAATGAAGTCAATCCATGTCATTATATTAGATCAACTAGATACGTATCGACATGAAGATCAAGTTATCAGCATGAAGGCCCTAAAGTGGGTTTGAGTTCAAACCATGGGTCGCGAGTCCCATGCGATAAAAAAAGAACGATATTCTGTCCTATCCGTCTTCCGTTAATCATAAGAGAACAAATGACAGGAAATTGTCCCAGTGGTCTATAGATTTGCCTTCCCAACAAGTATATCCCTCAACAACTTCAAACTTTCTTCAGCAAAGGTAACCATGTTCTTCTGCCGATTGTCACTGCCCGTCTCCACTTCTCGTGTGTACGTTCCATGCGCAGTCGACACTGCGACAGCTACGTAGCCTCTGCGAGTCATTAGCATGGTCTTAATGTTCTTATGTTTCAAATCACAAATAGAATTCCTACGGAGTGCGATTCCTCGTCGTCCCGCCGGTCGGCCCGGCTGTTCCACTCTCACTCACCGTATAGGTGGAACCGAGAGTGTGGCGAACGTGGTCGGCCATTTGGGCCACGATAGCGGGCGTTGGGCCATTGTAGTTTTCCAGATGAGCTGGAGTCCATCCGGCAAAGGCGATCCGAGATTCCAGGGTGTATACCTCAATCGTCATGTTAATCTTTATACTGCAATGTACGTATGGGCAAAATGGTGGTACTATTGGATAGACTAACAGTCAATCCACCCTTGTAGACAGCTGACGCCCCGGAAACAGAAAGCAGGCTTGCTGAAATGAGTCCGCCGGCGGCCTGGAAGGTTAGCAAGCCGGCAAGGACTATGGGGCTAATATGACGACATACCGTCTCCACAACGGATATCGTCTCCTGCTTCGCTTTGAGAATTTCAAAAACCTCCCGGATAAGGGACTGAAGATTCGACGGTGGGAATTCGCTCATTGTGATTGCGCAATAATGAATAAAGGTGATGGTTGATGGTTGAAGGTAGGGGAGATTGATAATGCAACGCCGGAATGTCTTAGCGCCGTCACTGGGTCTGATTACTACTCATCATTCAATGCAACTATCGTAACGGAAAACTAGTCGTTCACAGTACAGTATATCGAATCTAACTGATGATAAGCGCTTAGATCTAGGTTCTATATATCGACCTTAGTCGCCACGAAACACAGATTGGGAATGACTACTCTGTACACGTAAATAACAATTTAATTCGTCAGACCAGGCCAATCTGAACATAATCAGTAAGCACATGTCGATGAAACCAGTTCACAAATAGCAGGTTATGCTCACCATATGTTGTCCGCTCCTCCACCCTTCTGGATACAGTCACCTCTTCTCCTACTCGGATAGAGGCATTCTCGCAGTTCCGGTCTAGGAACACATACCTTCCAAACACGGGCGAGAACCTCGCGCCCTTGTCTACCCTCCGGTCTTTCATCAGCTTCTTGAGAATATTGCCGCTGTCTCCTGATCCCATTTTCCCTGTCATATAGTCAACGTTGAGGCTCTGGCATCGGATGCAATTCGCCGTCAATAGAAGTCGAATGTTTTCTCCCACCATGAGCTCCGCCCAGAAATCCTCCTCGAAAGCTGTTCTAGCACCCGAAATGACAATGTTTGGCCGGGTTTTTCTCAGATCCATCGCCATATCGCCAGCTAAGCGGGCAGACACGTTGTCTACCGAGGTTTCCGATATCATAAGATATGGTGCTGTGTCGGCAAAGGTAATTCTTTCTTCCTTCCGTTTACCGGTCACAGCCCCGTATCTATTAGCACCAAGAGTCACGAGAACAGCAACGGTTGTAGTCACTAGGATAAGGAGGATGAACGAGCTAATTTCTTTCTGCCCAAGTGGCACACCAACGTTCAGAAGCAAGCTGAGAAGAGCTAAGACGGCCACCGACCGTTTAGAAACAAGTGGAGTCACCAGTTCGCGATGTATCTGGCTTTTACCCGGTGGGAAGCTCCCTAAGACCCTCCTCCAATGTGGGCCCAGGTATACAAGGACCACCTTGTACCCGAAACACTGGCTAAACCAGTCGTTATATTTGCTACCCATATGATAACCCCTTGTCGGACTTTGATGCATTGTAACTGTCAACTCTTCCAAACCCTGCACATCTGGTTCTAACGGTACCTCTAACGTTTTGATCTGAGAATTACCGTTGTCGTTCACGCCTGGTGGACGATACGTCACAATGATCTTTCCATTGGTTTCACCCTCTGTTGGGAATACGATGTCTGTTAGGAACAAACTCATCTCGGGGAAATGCGGTATATGCATATTCTGGAGGGTTTCGACACCATCATCGCCCTGGTTGACCTTGAGGAGCATGAAACGTCGGTCATACTCAAAGCCGGTGCTGGTAAGGACAGCCTCGGGAACGGCTACCTCACGAAGGGATTTGATGGGGTATATGTACAGCTAAGGAGATGAGTATTATTGTATTGGATTAAGGGAGACGATTTTGGAGGACTCCTTACCTGTCTGATTTCCATCGCTTGAGACTGTTTGCTTTGCCTGCAATGCTTGAGAAAACTGCAAAGTGTTGTTGGGCGAGGCGGAGAAATTGGGTTTTACCGGTAAACTTCGAGCTAGCGCTTGGGCTTAACAGGGATACTCACATCACTGCATTCTCTCCTACGCACATACCCAAGGCCGGAAGTAACTCCACGTTATTAAAAATCAACAGGGAGACAACGGCTGCCAAGCCGGGACCCTTGCCCACGACAGGCAAGTGTTTCCGCTGCATTCAATCTTACAGCATACCGCCATGGAGGTTTCAAGAGGCTTTGAATAAATATTGGTACATGGTACATACACACATCAAATAGCAAAATGAAAACGTTAATGTTAATGCTCATATAACTCCCGTGATAATTGATTTAGACCCGATCAGTGCCTTATTTCATAGTTCTTCATAGTAAAGCCGGTTACTCGTCCTTCCAAGGAAGGCTGAACGTTCCCACCCAGTCCTCAACTTCCTGCCGCAAGAGCACAATCTCTGAAATCTCCTCGCCCTCACCAACATATTCCAGGAAGGCCTTGACAGTGTTGGGGTTCTTAACGCCCTTAGCCGCAGCGCTCTCCTTGGCAGCCTTGTCCAGCTTTTGGGTGATGATGACCGCGCGGTCAACGATATCGGCCACGCGACGGAAGTCCTCGGGCTGGAAGCCACGAGTAGTCATGGCAGGAGTACCCAAGCGGAGACCACCGGGCTTCAAGGCTGACCGATCTCCCGGGACGGTGTTCTTGTTGCTAGCAACGCCACAGAGCTCTAGAACACGTTCAACACGGGCTCCATCAACGCCACGGTTCTTCAGATCCACGAGGACCAGGTGGTTATCCGTTCCACCAGACACAATGTTGTATCCCAGACCCCCGTTACTGAGAGGGCTGCCAAGTCGATCGGCCAGTGCCTGAGCATTGGCTAAAACGGTTTCCTGGTAAGTCTTGAACTCGGCTGATTGAGCCTGCTTCAGTGCAACTGCGAGAGCAGTAATGGTGTGGTTATGAGGGCCACCCTGGTGGCCCGGGAAGACGGAGGCATTGATAGGATTCTCCAAGTCATACATCTCCTGATTGCCCTTCTTGTCCGTCCGGCGGATACCCTTGCGGTAGAAGATCATGGCACCACGGGGCCCACGCAGGGACTTGTGAGTAGTCGTTGTTACCACATCGGAATGACTGAAAGGCGAGGGAAGTACATCCGCAGCAACCAGTCCGGATATGTGGGCCATGTCACTGAGAAGGTATGCACCAGCTGCGTCTGCGATCTGGCGCATCCGAGGGTAGTCGATCAATCGACTATAGGCTGAAGTACCGGCAATAATGAGCTTGGGACGATAGAGCAACGCCTGCTTCTCGAGGGCGTCGTAATCAATGAGACCAGTGGACTCGTCAAGGCGGTAAGGAAGGGTCTCAAAGTATTTCGAGATGAAAGAGATCTTCTTAGTGGGAGTCTGATAACCATGTGACAAGTGACCACCATGAGGCAAGTCCAGGCCCATCAGGCGGTCATGCGTGTTGAGAAGGGCGGATATGGCGTACAAGTTGGCGGGGGAGCCGGAAAGTGCTGTTCAATCATCAACCACGATTCTAATATTTGAAGCTAACCGAGGAAGCTTACGTTGGACATTCACACCCCATTCTTCCGGATTTAGTCGAAAAGTTTCCAGCGCACGCTGTTGACATAACCTCTCCGACTCATCGATATGTTCATTGCCTCCGTAGTATCTAGCACCGGGATAACCCTCTGAGTACTTGTCTGGTAGCTGATTAGTGGGGAGCAGCGCACATAGGTTGGAATGGTGGACTGACTTTGCATCACACTGCCGAGAGCATCAAGGACCGCTTGTGAAGTGAAGTTCTCTGAAGGGATCAGGTTGATGAAGTGCTTTTGACGTTTTTTCTCCTGCAAATACACATGAGTACTACTACTCACAACCGTGAGACAATTGTGCAATGAGGAAAATTAACCTTCTGGAGAATATTGTAGATTGTGGGGTCTTCCTCCTCGAGGTGTGCGGAGAGCAACTGCGGAGATGACGTTAGCATAAGACTTTGGCACATTTGCGCACGTTTGTTTGATCGTCTAGAAGCGATTGCACTTAGAGAACACATACATGTTGCTGCCCATCGCGACTGGAGGATGACACACTCCGGCTCTGAGAGATTGAGCTGGAGACGCACCAGGGAGCAGCCGGTCGGAGTTGAGTAGTGATGGCGATAGCTCTGGAAGAGCTTCCCGGGCGCGGGACCAATCGCAAAGCCTGGCGACCACAGCGGCTCAGCATTTTGAATCTCTTGTCGTACTTCCTTACAATAGACAAGACGGGTTTACAGTAGAACAAAAAGAGGGGAGAGAGGAAATAGATCGGAATTTAATGAGAAGTAATGGAGGAATAACCGCCGCATGCTGTCCTATCATCGGACAACTAACCGCGCGGTGATACCGTTGCCCGCGGAAAGCAGCACACTAGTCGATTTACGGGTTAGCATCTCCGGCGGTCGGATCTATACTTATTCCATTCCGCTCGCTTATTTTTATGGACTCTCCGATCCCGACTTCCGCCTTTTTTTCTTTTTTTCCTTTTTCTTTCTCACACAACTAAATCCAAGATGAAGAAAAGGTTTTAACTTGTCAGTTCTCGTGGAAAGGACGGCTCTGCTGACTTTTCCCGGGCGATGCTGAAGTGTCCCGCCGTTCACCATCCATTTTGGGGCAATGAACGATCGGATTGGAGGTTGTGTTATACTGGATATGCCGACGACGATATGATTGAGGGAAAATATCATATAATATCGATCATATAATGACTATGAAATGCATTTTTAATTGTCTTTTTCGCCCTCTCATTTTGAAAAGCCCGGTCTTGACTCGATCATCTGGGATGTCCAGGGCACCGATGTCTTTATTAGCAATGAACCCTTGTCCTTAGCAGTAGTCTAATGTCAATGTCAATCTGCCGATCTTGAGTTATATTTACAGCTAGTAGTAGCCTCTCTGCCCTCATTGTTCAAAATCCATCCAACAGTTCAAAAAGTCTTGGGATCTAGACTGGATGATCTTCACACATATCGAGGTTCTTCGGAGAGCAACACCCTATCGGTCAGATCATGGGTGTATTTGTGCCTTGCAGGGCACCTTACGCTCTACACAAGTCATTGCGAATGAGTAAGATCCACAAATATTGACCAGAGACGTCAGTGAATTTGCCAGCTCATGGCAACCTGGATACGTGACGTTTGGATAGTGCTTTGTCGATGTACAAGTGCTTGATACCTGTGATCCTGTGGTCCTGCGGTCCATTCACGCTTCGAACCCTGACTGGATCCGAGCAACGCAAAAAATAGAACAGGTGGGCAATCTCAATAATTGCGTCGTCGACAGGGTTGTAATTGGGTGCCGCTGAACGAATGATAGAGCATATCTTAAAGTTGGGCCCCAGGGTGGTCACTGAACCAGGCAATGATCCTCAGGGCGGATAAGAAAACTCTGTTGGGTATGGGGGAACTGGGTTCGCTGACTATGTTATGTATATGGAGTATTGTACGGAGTTCTCCGTACAGTACAAACCTAGGTAGAGGAGGTGATCAGTCAGGAAGTTGAAGAGGGCGGGGGCGATTTGAAAGAACCCTTGCTGCGGTCAGCTCCTGGTCGCCTTGACTCGTCTCACAAAGCAATATGAGATACGGAGTAAAGGATCTTCGAGTAAGGTTGCTCTCAACCTCAAAACATACAGTGGCAAGCAAGCAAACAAACAAACAAACAAGCAGGGCTAATACGTTTGTACTCCGTATGTATCGATGTACGAACTACCTGCCAGGAACACGCGGTGAAGAACGTGGAGTACAAACCACTGCACATTAAAATTGGAAAGGAAAAGGGGGTAGGTTACTCCGTAGATTTGGTTTGTTCCTGGTGCCTGGATGTGTGCATAATAGTGGATCTGAGTGGATATGGTGCGCGGGATCGATCATCCAATCCGGGACGTCTCTGTTGTAATTGCCACACACGGTTTGTGTACACGTTTGACACCATCGATGGTTGTCCGTCGACGACTAGTACAGAAGTAGGATGTAATTAAACGTTAGTTGCTCTAGTCCCCTTTGTCTCGATTTATTATATTAATTAGTCTCTCTCGCTCCCTTCTTCTATTCTCCTCTTCCTTCCTCTCCTTTTCCACCCCCAAGTCAGTCAGTCACTATCCATTTATTCCGGTCTCTACCGAGTACATTCTTTATTTCACGTCACTCTTTTACCTTCGGGGAGAAAGTCCAACGACAAAAATAAATAACCAACCTCTAATTTCAATTCGCCATTCTTTGGACAGAAAAAGTAACAAATCAACAAAATGCGTTTCTCCGTCGCTGCTGTTTTCGCCGCTGTGGCCGCTGGTGTCGTCGCCGAGGAAGTGAGCACTGTTATTGTCACCGAAACCGCCACTTACTGCCCTAAGTCCACTGATGCTATCGGTGTTTCTCCCACCGAGTCTATCAGCATCCCCGCTGTATGCTCACAGATGTCCTTCAGTCTCACCATCGTGGAATAATACTGATCGGATAATAGGGCTACACCACCACTCGTCCTCTCATCACCTCCACCGTGACTGAGTGCAACAAGTGGTATGTTATATCGGCGTCTTCCATCTCGTATAGATCATCAAGCTCACATAATTACAGCTCCAGCACCGCCCCCCCTGCTGGCACTCCCACTGGCGTCAACCCTGTTGGCAGCTCTACCCCCAGCTCTCCCGTTATTCCCGTCGTCCCCAGCGTCCCCAGCAGCTCCAAGGCTACTCCTAGCAGCAGCTCCATCATCAAGCGCCCCAGCAGCAGCAGCATCGTCATCTCCTCCACGCCTCTGGTTCACTCCACCCGGCCTGCTTCCACCAACGCCCCGCCTGCTCCTTCTGCTTCTGCTCCTTCTGCTTCCGGCCCCTCTGATGTCTCCCCCACCGGCTCTGCTACCACCCCCGCTGTCCCTCTCTTCACGAGCGGTGGCTCGCGCGCAGCTGTTGGCGCCGGTGCCGGTCTGGCGACCGTCTTCGGTCTCGCTGCTGTTCTGCTGTAAACTGATTTGAACTTCGACGGATGGAACGGATTGATTGCATTTTCTCTATTACCCCTTTGAGTCTTCATTCTCGGCGACCGTCGTCATGATTGCGATCCATATGTTACTTGCATTCTCCGCAGGTGAGAACATATCGCATAGATGTACTTGACTATGATGACGGAGTTATTAAATTTCTTGAACTCTTGTTGGAGCGTCTAGACCACTTTTCACTGGTGATACGACCGATACCATACATATTGTATTTTCTTTGATATCTCTTTACGGCTTTTTCTGTTAATATTGATCTTGATGGCTTTAGTGCCTGCTGGAAGTTCGGCTTTCCTGTGTATACCTTACAGACTTTATAATAGCCCATTACGGTTTATACAGATTTTGTGCATTCCGAGAAAGCTGTAGAGTAGCTTGTCCTTGATTGCTTTTCCAAGTGTATATGTTGTGTCCGAGGCCTTGCCATCCATCTACAATTTGGCTCGGCTTTGTTTCTTCTCTTCGAAGTACTCTCGCACTTTGCTTCGCGCTATTTCCACTACATCAGCGTCCTCCACTGTCGGCGGTATGCTCACCGGGGCCCCATAATCCCCACGCACCCCGTGTTCGACCAGCTCGCGCAATACTCGCCGCAACGTCTTGCCGCTGCGCGTCTTCGGGATTATTCCGCGTCCCTGTATCATGCCTCCGAGCGATGCGATTGCTCCGATCTGCTCACGGACTCGTTGATTAATCGCGTTGAACAGCTCCGGGGTAGGTATCGCTGGCAGGGCGGCAGATGCAGTCCGTGGCTGGATAAAGGCAAAAGGAAGGTGCCCTTTCAGCGCGTCCGGTATGCCAACAACGCTGGCCTCGCCGACCTCTGGGTGTGACAGAATGGCTTGTTCAATTGCACCTGTATCAAACCATGTGAGTTAATGAAAGATCATGATCAGTCTTAGGGATGTATACCTGTACTAAACCGATGCGCGGCTACATTTATGATGTCGTCCGTTCGCGCCATGACATGAATGTACCCATCCTGGTCGATCATACCTGCATCCCCTGTGTCCACCCATCTACCCGAAAAGCGCTTGAGATATCCCTTGTAGAACCTCTCGTCATCATTAAACAATCGAGTGAAAGCCGTGGGAGCCAATGGCATATTTAGGACGATGTTGCCCATCGTCCCTCGGGGGACCTCTCGGCCTTCATCATCAACAATCCGAACGTCAAATCCCGGCATTGGAAATCCGGCCGATCCTGGTCGAATAGCCATCGGCTCTACTTCTTTGTCATCATCTAACGTCACTCCAGCTGTGCTTCTTAGTGCCAGCCCGGAGATAGGCGAGCCGGATTCGGATGACCACCAATTATCTATGACCATGGCACCCGGGGCGGCATGACGGGATAAAAGCTCCTGATACGCCTGGACAATACTGGGCTCGCTCCTCTCGCCGGCGAGAAAAAGAGCCTTGAAATGCTTCAGGCCACCACGACGGGCCACCTCCTCGAAGAACTTATTGTCTGGATCATCCTTTCGGATGGCACGCATGGCCGTAGGTGCTGTGAACAGGATGTTGGCCCTGTGTTCCTCGATAACCCTCCAGAATGTTCCCGCATCTGGGGTTCCAACAGGCTTTCCTTCGAAGAGTACAGTGGTTGCGCCAACCAAAAGGGGTGCGTATAAGATGTAGGAGTGGCCGACTACCCATCCAATATCAGAAGCGCAGAACATCACATCACCTGGGCCCTGAATGCCAAATAGATACCTAATGGACAAATGCAACCCGACTGCATGTCCGCCAGCTTCTCGGACAACTCCCTTCGGGAGCCCGGTGGTACCTGAGCATTCTTGTCAGTTATACCAAAGAAGCGTCATTCCCAAGGCATAGGGTCGTACCGCTGGTGTATATTATATACAATCCATCCGTGCTAGCCACAGGTATCGGTCCGGCTTTGATGCCACGCATGCGTGCGCTCTTGACCAACCGTTGCCAGTTGCGCTGTCCACCCAGCTTATCGGGTCGATTCCACCGCAGCTGATCTCTTTGCCAAACAATGACCTTTTCAGGCTTAAAGCTACTTGCCTCAATAGCCCCCTCGACCAATGGCCTATAGGCAACAGGGCCCTTAGACCCTTCTATACCACATGATGCTGTCATGATGACTCGTGGCCTGGCAGCTTCAATCCGCTGTGCGAGGGACTTGGCCGCAAACCCGCCAAACACGGCCGCATGGATTGCCCCCAGTCGAGTAATCGCCAATGCTGCAATGAGCGCGGCTGGAATCATGGGCACTGGAAATAGTCAACATCATCCGTGCCTAGGAGAGTCAAAAAGGACCAGGCCAAGGGCAAAAAAACAAAACAAAAAAGTTGAGGTGGCATACTATAAATAATGACTACATCACCCTTGCGCACTCCTTCTTCTCGTAATACACCCGCCAAGACCTCAACCTCCTCTAACAGCTGTCGGTAGGTATATTTCTCTTTCGTCCTCGTTACCGGGGAGTCCCAAATGATAGCAACATTGTCACCGTTACCATTCTCCACATGACGGTCGACGCAGTTGTAGGTCGTAGAGATCTCCCCGTCGGGGAACCAGGACCAATGGTCGTGGCTAGTACCGCTGGGAAGATGTTTGGAATGCCGGCTGATCACATGCGATGGTTTCAGGTGCCAGTAGAGCTGCTCTGCATGGTGAGACCAGAAGCTCTCCGGGTCCCGAAGAGAAGAGCTGTGTACCAGCTGCTGTGGGTGACGTGACATAATAAATTGTGACCAAAGGAAGGAGGTACGTAGTCGACGTGGGTGGGAGGGGGGAGCGAGCAAGCAAAACAAGCTGAATGTGAAAGATAACTAACTACTAGTAGCAACCATAAAACCAACAGACGGCATTCAATAAAATTTGGAAAGTAACTAAGGCGTCTTCCTGCAGGTGGACGTCGCCGCGGTTAGTAGTAGTCGGTCACCATCGCATTCCGCGGCTAGCAGAGGAGTAGACATGCGGGGATGTTAGGGGTCTCATTCTTCAGCCTCGAATTGGAAGAAACGAAACAAGGTGTCCATCCTGGCATCCGAAACCCTGCGAAAATTCGGAGTCGTGGATCAGCGTCTCACGCCCAATCGGTTGGTTCATTGGTTTTTCGAACCTCCGGGCGTAGGGAAACGAACACGTTTCGGGACAAATGAAGCAACCTAAACCTGACCTATGAATACATGCAATAACCAACTTTCGTAGAGAAGATTGTGTGGAGAGGAGAACCGAGGTAAGGTGGGCAGGTAATGAATGGAAAGCTTTCCCCGCACTTTCGAGCCCGGTTTAAATCGATCGCCCGCATCGACCAGCCAGTACGGAGTAGTTGAAATCACATATATTTTGTACTCGGATCTTTGTCCTTAAGGTATACGGAGTACTCTGGAGTCAATTAGCCCGGTCATTGCAGGCACAGCGAGATATTCATCCCTGTTCATTTCATTTTCGTATTTTCCATTTTTTTTTCTCCGTAGTAATTCATAGGCGAAAGCGATGTGATAAAAAATGAATCGGACCTCTTTCTTTTTTTTCTTTCCCTTCTAGTAGTACCTAGTAGTTACTCGCAAATGCATCAAAAATCGCAACTCAAAGCTCAACCGTAGGGTATCATATCGCAATGCCTGCTAAACTGTGGACTACCACCTTCTGACTTCCTTCAAAAACCACATATCTATTCTCTTCTTTCTTTCAGGAAGCCGTCCACTCATCCCATAAACCAACCCCCTCTCCATTCTCTTACTCATATCGAGAACTCCCCTCCTCCAGCGTCACTGTTGTGTAACAAAGGTGTCGTAAAGGCAGATAAGGATTCGGGAAGCGGGTAAAAAGCCAGCGGGTTCGAAAATGAATACAGGCGTAAACAGAAAAAATAGACGTATTCTTGCAAGGCCCCGGCGGCTCCCGGCCTCTTCAGACACAAAACCTTCCGTAGCCGAAACACCCTAAGGTGGTCCAGAGAGATCGCCTCCTACATTGTAAACGTATATCATGCATCAAGCATATTCACCACCAACCATTGCATCTCAACAAGTTGAGTTATTAAGAAAAGTAGGGGAGGTAAAAAGAAAAGAAAAAAGAAAAGAAGAAAAGAAAAGAAAAAAGAAACGAAACAAAGGGGGCAGAAGGAGGAAAAAAGACAGAGTAAGGCGCTGGGTGCAGAGCCATATGGCCATGAAGACTCGCGGTCAATATAAATAAATGAGGGGGTTGTCATGAAGTAAGCTCGCATGAGATCTCGTAGATAAGGCCAAGGAAGAATAAGGAGTAGAACCGACATCCACGACTGATCACAAAAACGTGCACAAAGGGCCCTTTCATTCCTTTGGGTGGCTAGCCATGGCTAGGGGGTAACTCGACCAGCAAGACAGGCTTGATTCACAGAATGGTGCATTTTAGTGAGCCGCGATGCCGCCCGCCACGGTCAGTCCGGAAGGATTTGGGGTATTCTGGACCAGCATCACGGTCGCGCATGGGACCCAGGCCAGTGGGTCGGCGATCCTGAGAGCGCCCTCCTTGTTGTTGTTGCCGTTGCTGCCTGAGCATCCGAACCACGTCGTAGAAAGCTTTTTCGACATTAATGCAATTTTTCGCAGACGCTTCAACAAACTCACAGCCCAAGTCCTTGGCTAGGGCCTGGCCTTCCTGCGCGGACACTGCTCGCTCAACAGCCTTGTCGCTCTTGTTACCAACCAGCATCACAGGAACGGGAAGCGGAGGTCCGGAGGGATTGTTGATCGGGGAGGCGAGATAGCTGGCGCCGGTGGGAGAGCCGGAACTGGCTGATTCTTTGACCATTTTGATCTGGTTATAGAACTTCTGTATTCTCGAAAAAGAGGCCCGTGAGGTAATACTGTAAACAAGCACAAACCCTTCACCATCACGGATCCACTGATCCCTGAGTGCTGTGTATTCTTCCTGACCTGCGGTATCTAGCACTTCCAACATGCATGATTGCTGATCGATCACCACCTGCTTCCGATACGAGTCTTCGAT